TGGTTTTCTGTTGTACTGCAGTTGCAAGGCATAAATTGTATCCTTCTGCTCCTCCGTTGACTCATCAACGAGGAAGCGACATTTCATGTTCTCAAGAAAAAAGTGGCAGAGTTCGGTCATAGATAATGAAATATACAGAGTTCGGACGTCAATTTATTTCCAAGACTATATCATTTGTAAATTTAAATCAAATGCACAACTACTTTTACTTGAAATACAATGTTTGATGTTTTTGAACGTAGTACATCTTAAATGGAACTTGTGCACAACTCAAGAACCCATTAGCATCGGTGAAGGGTAAAATGGAACATTTTTTAGTTCATCCATTATTATTATTATTACTTGGAAATGTTACGGTCTCGTTATGGTACTATCTCGTCGGGTGTTTTAACCGTTGAATCATCTAACTATACATGGATCTAACGATTAAAATACCCGACGGGATGGTACCGTAACGAGACCGTATTATTATTTATGGTTTGACGTGATCTCATGCACAAATACCCTTTATAAGAAAAAGGAATGGTCATTAAAGAATAATAATTCCCATTATTATTATTTATGGTTTGACGTGATCACATGCACAAATACCCTTTATATGGTCATTAAAGAATAATAATTCCCATTATTATTATTTATGGTTTGACGTGATCACATGCACAAATACCCTTTATAAGAAAAAGGAATGGTCATTAAAGAATAATAATTCCTTTATAAGAAAAAGGAATGGTCAAAGTCTACTTCTTATTTTTTTTTTCCAAACGATAAATACTATAAATAAAACTGGAGAACAACCAGACAGTCAAACATACAACCATGAGAGACACACTTAAAAAAATGGTCTAGAGACTCATCAGAAAAAACCAATCGACTAAGACGGGGATACAACCACCGGATCCTTACCCGAGCAACACAACCAACCAACACCTACCAATCTAGACTCAAACTCACTAGAACCAAACACAGACCCAGGAAAAACAAAGAAAAACAGCAACACAACAACAATAAAGCAACCAGACCAAACTATGTCAGAAGCCACACTAAACCAAAAAATAAAAACAAACCAACAAGCAGAGCCCTCCTGCAACCACTACTGCTGCACCGCAACCCACTCTTGCCATTCTCTCCAAGCCCCTTTAGCTATAATTTCCTCAGGCATCCAGGTCTTCTCAAACATCCATAAGTTCCGAGATCGCCAAAGCCACCACAATATGTACGTAGAGAGTTGTATTCTATCTTCAGCTACCTCAAATTTGTCCACAGCACACACATTGTTCCACCATAGCCTGAAGGATAAGTCTACTTCTTAATTGATATAGCAATTCCTTTATAAGAAAAAGGAATGGTCAAGACTGACTTACTAATTGATATAGCATCAGTTTCCAAAACTCACTATATATTATTATCTTATTATTGGTTCCAGTTGCTAATAATAGTTTAAAAAAAAATAAAAATCATTAAAGGAAATGCAAACTTCATCGATATATTGAGTTACCCGGTTTTGCTATGAAGCCAACAGTTGACTTCATAGTGGAGCCAACTTTCTATATACAACAAATAAACTTATCATATTAATAAAATTATATTAGTGTTATTTAAGTAATCAAGAAATATGATAGGTTTATTTGTTGTATATAGAAAGTTGACTCCACTATGGAGCCAACTGTTGGTTTGTGTAAAGATGTGGAATAATTTGTACCAAAAAAAAAAAAAGATGTGGAATAATGAGAAATATTGAAAAAATAACTATCTTTAATTCCATAAGATACAAATTAATTATCAAGTAATATAATACAAATTTACTGCAGTTTTAAAGGAATATTATTTTCATATACTTAATTACTTGTTTACATATATCATAATAATATTAAAGTTTTACACGAACTAAGGCAATTTCCTCCACAATTACACACAAACAGATACATTGAGGAAAAAAAAAATCATAACTCATAAGCATACTAACACACACCAACCCCATGATACCCTTTTGTGATGTTATATATATACATACGGCATGTTCTTGAAATGTGAAAAGTCCAAAACTTTTTTGATTTTTGCTCTACAAATTGGATTTACAAAATCAAATTACAAAAATCGTTTTGTTTTTTTTTTTTTCCAAATACACACACATCTATATATAATTGCTGGCTAGTTTCATTAGATTTTATTTAGTCAGCAATTAATAAAAATAAAGCTCATTTAATAAAAATCTTTATGACTCTCTTCAAAAGCCGTTACAATGTGTTTTATTTATTTATTCTTTTCTTTAATTTGTTTCATATATTTATCCATCTACTTTAACTATATTTTGGGTTTGTAATGGTTGCATGGAATTACCAATTTTATATTTAACTTATAATTTTATTATTATAAATATAATCATATACACATAACTTATAAATATGATCAAATACTAGTATATTGTAATAATGCTTGATATTGAGTGGTGATTTTAAGAAACCAGGCAGTGTTAATAATACTTATCTGTTTTGAAGGTTGAGAAAAAACAAATTTTCCTAAAAAAAAAAGAGAAAAAATTGTGTCTTTATTAAATGGGGGCGAGTTGCTCGAAGTTTCCCTTTTGCTGGTGGCATTCGCACATCAAGCCCTCTGTTCTTCAAGTAAACAAATTTCACCTAAAAAAATATTACCTGAGGAACACACACACACACACACACAAAAAAGAGTTTACTTGGAGTCAAGTAAATGCAAGTGCTTTTTGGTAACCATATATGTGACATCATCATAAGTGGCTATATAATAGAACATTATGGTTGAATGTAGTACTACAAACATCTAGCGAGATTTCATATACTTATTTTCTAAAGCCTATATCCAATAAATATATATTTGTATAAAATTGGGAAAATGGTTTTCTCTTCAATCCTCTTCCCTGTCATCTTCTTTTTCTTAATAATGTTTGAGTTCACCATATTCGGCATGTCAACAAATAATAATTTTACTTTTATTGATTGCATACCAAGGGAGAGGAAAGCTTTCTTGAAATTGAAAGCAAGCCTGTTGGATGAGTCTAACAGGCTTTTCTCGTGGAAAAACACCAGATATAAATGTTTTGCTTGGCAAGGCGTAAATTGTGATAAATCGACTGGGCATGTTATCGGGTTCGATCTCAAAAATCGAGTTCTAGATGAATATGGATACCGAGCTTTGATAGCATGTTACAAAAGCGAAACACTTGATTCTTCCTGCTCGAAATGAAGCATCTCAAGTACCTTGACTTGAGCTGAAATGATTTCAATGGCAGCTCAATTCCAGCATTCCTAGGATCATTAAAGCAACTGCAATATCTCAATTTCTCACATGCAGGCTTTGGAGGCGTTATCCCTCACCAGCTCGGTACTTAGTACGCTTCAACTTTGGAGGTTGATCTTAGTAGATGGCTATCTTCTCTAAGAGTCGACAGTCTCATTGTAATCTTTCATTTCTAGAGTCCCTTGATATGAGTTATGTCAACCTTAGCACCACAAAAGATCAGCTTGCGACGGTACTCAGTACGCATTATTTTCAGTTTTTATTTTTCCTCCTTTTCCAGTATTATTATTTTTAAATTTTTATGACTTGGTATGCATGCTACAATTTGTGAAAAACTCCATTTTTAACCATTTTTAGGCTCTATATATCTATATTCATGAAAGACTGACACTTAGAAAAAAGAATAATAAAAGAAAGGTAGAATGGGAATAGTATATGATTCATCATCAGAAATAAAATGGAGAGAGGACAATAATTTCGTAGTAGGTGACAATTGAGGAAATCTAATTTTGACTCATCAGAAATAAAATGGAGAGAGGACAATAATTTCGTTGTAGGTGACAATTGAGGAAATCTAATTTTGAATTTGTCCTGTGTACTGACTCTGGCTATTAGCTGTAAATTTTCAATTTGCCAAAAAAAAAAA